CTGCGTAGCCTGGTCGTCAGCCCAAGAAGCGTCTGGTGCCCAGTGAGGACACTGGACTTGCCCTCCAAGCACAAGCCCATGCCGATGTACTGCACAAGTAGCGCAACACCCTCTTCGTGCAGCCATGTGCTCCGGTCTGGTGTCTCCCAGGAGCAACATAGCGTGCAAGAATGCTAAGAGGGTATGCAAGGTCAGGTCGTGTGCAGGTCATCAGGTACATGAGGCAGCCAACAAGCTCTGGGTACGGGCCACTCGACTCTACGGACTCATCCGAAGGCAGAGCTGAGAGCGAGTGGCGAGTAAGCAGAGGAGTGGCCTGAGGCGAGGAGTACGTGAAGCCGAAGCGCTGAAGGACCTGCACGCATGTGTGTGACTGAGTCAGGGTAATGGTGCGGCGTGCTCTGTCCCGGGTGATCTGCAAGCCAAGGTAGCTAACGCAGTTCACCCAGGTCTGTGCACGTGTGTCTCTCTGCAGCTCGGACTTCACGTGGGCGAGTCCCAGCAGTGTCAGCTGTGGCGAAGACCAAGTCGTCGACGTACACGAGGATGTAGAACGGCGGCAAAGAAGTGTCGGTGCGCAGAACAGCGACGGGTCGGCAGTAGAGGGAGCAAACCCAAGAGCCGCAAGTGTAGTCCTCAGTGTGTCGTGCCACTCACGCGGTGCCTGGCGGAGACCGTAGACTGGCCGCCGGAGGCTCCACTGGTGCCAGGAGGGAAAGGACCCAGTGAAGCCAGGTGGGCGACGCAGCCAGATCTCCTCGTGCAGGCTGCCCTGCAAGAAAGCAGTGCTGAAGTCAAGAGAGTGCAGCTCGTAGCGGTGCGGTGAGCAGCTATGTGCAGTAGTACCCGAAGAGTGGTCATCTTCGGGGTGGGAGAGAAGGTCTGAAAGTAGTCAACTCCCTGCCGCTGACTGAAGCCACGAGCCACGTAACGCGCCTTGAAGACAGGCGGAGAAACCGGCGGCCGCTTCACCCTGAAAATCCACATGCCACTGACGATGTTCGCCCCAGGCGGGGGAACTCGTCAACGTAGGTGCCTGTGGACTTCCAGGAAGCCATCTCTGCGTCCATAGCTGCCTGCCACTGAGAGGAGTAGGGACCCTCTATCGCCTCCGCGTAAGAGCGCGGAGTCGGGATGTCAAGTGCATCCGGGTCTCCCTCAGGGGTAAGCAGTACGGACACGAGATGAGGTGAAGCAGCAGCCAAACACTGGAACTCCTCCTGCCTGTCCTCAAGGACGTCCGTGCCAAGGGCACACTCACCCCCGACGGACGGAGGACAGACAGACTCAGACTCAGCAACAGACTAGCAGCGTAGTCTAGACGACAGCGAGCAGCAAAGTCGACGAGCTCAGTAACTAGGGCAGACGCAGCAGTGGACTCAAAGGAAGGGTCAGTGACAACAGTAGCAAGGAGACGCGTGACAGTAGGACTGGCAGCACGAAGAGAGTCCGACTCCGGGTCAGGAAGAGCAGGAAGAGAGGACTCAGGAGGAGAAGGCAAAGGGGGACGCAGAGGAGCAGTGGACGGACGCAGAGACATCCGGTGCGTGCCAGGGACAGGAGGAGGACGCTGACGCGAACCACGACCACTAGTGCGAGCAGCACGACAGGCGACGCAGGGCGAGACGCAGGCTCACGACGCTCAGCAAGACCTCCAGTAGGACAGTGTAGGGAGAAGGAGCGGGCAGTGGGGAGGCCGGCTGTAACTGTAACTGTGACGGGACAGGCTGTGGACACTCTAAGGAGGAGGAGGACCAGTAGAAGGCGGGAGACCAAGAACCTGCTGAAGGAGCGGAACGAAGTACGGCCTAGGCCGCGCGGCGACTCCAGACACAGCAGGGACAGCACCAGTACCCCCAGCGGCAGCACCAGCGCCAGCAGCACCTCCAGCTCCAGTACCTCCTGCAGCACCAGTAGCACCCCCAGCAGGACCGCCTCCAGGACCGACAGCAGTAGCCTCAGCGCCAACACCCTCAGCAGCTCCAGCTCCAGTCGTACCCGCAGGCCCAGCAGCTCCAGTACTCCCAGTACGAGCACCTCCGGGACCCGCGGCACCAGCACCCTCAGCAGCCGAACGAACCTCCAGCTCCAGCAGCACGCCTCCAGCGCCGGGCAAACCACTCGCGCAGCTCCTGTGGAGAGAGTGGCTCCCGCCGAGAGACGAAGCACGAGAGACCTCCAGGCTCAGCACCGCCAGACGCCACACGAGCAGGCCCAGCTCCCTCAGGCTCCGCACCCCAAGCTCAGCACCTCAGGCGTGGCACCCCCAGGCTCAGCACCCCCAGGCGTAGCACCCCCAGGCTCAGCACCCCCAGGCTCAGCACCCCAGTAGTAGCAGCACCCCAGGCTCAGCACCCCAGGCTCAGACCCACTCCCCAGTAGTAGCACCCTCAGGCTCAGCACCCCCAGGCGTAGCACCCACACGCTCAGCACCCCCAGAGTCAGCACCCCCAGGCTCAGCACCCTCAGCAGCACCAGAGTCACCAGTAACCTCGACAGGCTCGACTGCGTCTACCTGGGACACACCTGAAGGGCAGGACCCTGAGGGGGGAGGGGGTCTACCGGGGGGGGACCTGGTACAAGGAAGAGCGTGGCGGGGGGAGGGACGGAGTGCGGTAGGGGAAGAGGCGGTAGTAGGGGACCGACTCGTCAAACGTGACGTCTGGGAGGACAGACACAGGGAGAGGTGGGGGTGGTAGAACTGCCACCTGGCGCGTCAGGGGGGAAGCCAAGGAAGACGCAAGGAGCAGCACGAGGGGACAGCTTGTCCGCAGACAAGTCGCGGACAAACGCCCGAGATCCCAGACACGGAACGCAGACGCATCGCCAACCTTCCCCGTCCACAGCAAGGCTGGGGAGGTCTCCGGCATGGAGACCCTGGGGTGAAGGTTGATCTGATGCGCCGCGTAACCGAACCGCAAACGGCCACAGAAAATGGGGGGCAGCCGCATGCATCATGGACGTACGGGCGACGTCCATGACCATGCCAATGCGGCGCTCAGCAATCCCATTTTGCTGTGGAGAGTCCGGAAGCGTGAAGGTCTGGCGGATGCTGTGCACGACAGTAGGCTCGCAGAAGGCCAGAGGAGACTCTCCACCTCTGTCAGAGTGCAGACGCAGAAAAGGAAAGTCCGAGCCGAAGCTCTGCCTGAGCTGGGACAAGCTGCGCGGATCCAGTCGATCAACACCTCAGTGACATCACCTTGCTGCGCAAGGGGAAGACTGTGGTGTAACGCGAGTAGTCGTCAACCACCAGCAGGAAAGTAGCGCTCGTGACCCTGTCCACGGACGCGGGCCGGGCCCCCACACGTCCATGTGAAGCGTCTGCAGCGGGGCCTCGTCGGAGGAAACTGGGAGGAGTGAGGGGCAGCCGCTGCCGCCCCTCGACACAGGGGACGCAGGTAGGGCCAGGCCCCGGAGGAAGGGGAGGGAGGGGACCGGGGAAGACCAGAGAAAAGGACACGGGAGGCCATGCCTCGGAGACGAAGCAGGGAGGGGTGACCAAGGCGGTGGTGCCAGAGGAGAGTCTCGTGAGACAGGAGGCGACACGAACAAGGGGGCAGACTCAGGACCAGACCTGGACGCGCAGCAAACACCTGACCCGACGCAGTTACCTGACCAGACGCAGTGACGCAGTGACTGGAGGAGGACGCAGTGGTCAGGGTTGTACAGGCTCGACCCCGGCCGACGGGTAAAACGGGGCCAGGTGTCGGCCGTAAGTCGAGCGTCCGTGCAGTGGGTCACCCGCTGACGCGAGGAGTGAACTGGTGAACCCCCGCATCCTGTAGGTCAGCACACTCACCAAGTTCGTAGAGAACGAGGGGAGGTAAAGACAAGCACAGGGGTGCCAGAGGGGGCCGCCGGACACGGGAGGACAGTAGTGGAGAAGTGAGCAAGGACAGGACCCCCAGAGGGGTATGCCAGACAGAGACCGCAACTGGCGGCAAGCGGCGTGAGTGTGGTGCGGTCTCGAAAGAAGGAGCGAGAAGCCCCCGAGTCAAGGGTGAAGGTGTGGGAGGCCGAAGCCGACGCAGAACCTGAGAGACAGACTCACCAGCACCTGAGGGAAGCAGACGCACCTAGAGCAGCAGCCTCGCTAGCACCTAGAGCAGCAGCCTCACCAGGACCTAGAGCAGCAGTCTCAATGCCCGGGTCGGCGCGAAAAACACCGGTAACAGTCACCCCTCATCACTAATAGTCACAGTATACATGGCAGCAAGAATAGCATCAAAGTCAAGGTCAAAGACAGCGACACCCGCCCTAGACAGCTCACCCCAGCGGGGGATCTCAGTGGCCTCAGGGAACTGGTGACCAAGCGTCTCGTCAGGCGGCCAAAGCAGCGCTGGGTGGAGTGCGTACCCCCGCACTGAGTCACCCGCCGGCGGTCGCCGGTGCGTGAGGACGTAGGTGCACGGAACCAGTACCCCACCCCGCCGGCGTGCATCGTACCAAACACGGGAGCGTGCTCACGGAGCTGCTGGGAGGGGGATGTCACGAGTGCGCTGCTGCTGCTGCTGGCACTGGCGCTGACCACCACCGGAGCCGACCTCTCTGCGCAGCGCCACCCCGACCAGCTCCACCTCCTCCGCCGCCGCCTCCTCCACCGCCGCCACCTCCGCTCCCACCGCCACCCGCCCCGCCGCCGCTCTCTCCTCCACCGCCGCCACCGACACCTCCACCCCCACCACCACCCCCACCGCCACCCCACCCCCTCCACTGCCTCCACCGCCGCCTCCACCGCCCCCCGCTAGCTCTCCAGTTGCCCCTGCCCCCCTTGCCCTTGCCAGGGCGGCGTCTCCCGCTAGGGGTAGACGCCGCACCGACGACTCAAGCCCAACGAGGTCGGCCGCCGTAAGCAGCAGAGGCAACAGAGGGCAAAGGGGGGAGGGGGAACACCCCTCAAAGATGGGGGTGCGAGGGTCACCACGAGAGGCTCCTACAGCTACTATGCTCTTCTCTGCTGCTTAGGAGGGACTTCTCGAGGAGGTCAACGGTGAGAGTGTGGGGCAAACTGAGAGGAAGTGGTCCCTGACTACGCGAAGGGAGTCAGGGAGACCGGTTGACTATGTAGTAGAGGGTGATGTACATGGGGGGGGGGTTCTTGGCGCAGAACTCAGTAGGAAGCGCAGCGCGTGTAGGAGTAAGTGTCACTAGTGCGGAGGTGCGTAATGAGGTCAGCGACTGTGGGAAAGGCAGCAAGGTCAGGGAAGAGGTACGGTAGCATGAGGCGGCTCAGTGCAGCAGTGGCAGGGGAGGAGTAGCGCGCAACTACAGGTCGTACAAGGTTGAGCAATCTTGTACTGGCTAAAGTGCGCACGCTCAGAGGTAGGCAGGTGGCGACGCACAGCAAGACGTTGTGCCAGCAGCATCGCGCGTGGCCCACTGTGAGCGAAACAGTGGCGTCAGCATCAGCAGGGGGGGAGGAGAGGCACCAGAAGTGAGGTCAAAGAGGGGGAGGCCGTCTGCTCTGTCGCACTGTAAGAAAAGCTGCAGGTCATCTATCCAGACGTCAAAGTCAATGTCCCGGACCCTCAGCGTCACAAAGCGACAAGGCACTAGGGGTAGCCATGACAGCAGTAGACTAGCAGCGCAAACAGTAGGGTGAGGGCAGTGCTGTGAAATAGGCGCTGCTCTTACCGGACA